CATCCTGGGCCATCCGACCTCAGGAATTCGCATGATAAGGTGGGGCCAGGTTTCACAATGAGCTCACCCGAAACCCTGGCTGATTGGGACCCACACCCAGTTTCACACCTTGGCTCATGTTATTAGAGGATCATCAGGGGGTCCTTTTGTCCCTCTTTGGGGGGGATACTCCCTCTAGGTTTAAATCTGGGACTCCCGACCATTTGACCCTAGAACTGAAGAAGCTTCTCGGATGAGAGGTGAAACATCTTCAAGCAACTTAAAGAAGTCCAGATGCTTTTCTTTGCAAGCTCCTTTGATTATTGCGTTAGCTTACATGGTTCCGGTTCTACAGGTATTTAAAAATAGTTATGCAAAACGGAGCGTGCCCGCTCTGACCGGCTTTAAAGGGTTAACTTGTGATTTCTGAGGAATTTATCCTTAGCAACAGAGGCGACTCTGGGGCGGTCCCTATGTGAGCCAGTTTCATCGTAGCCCTTGATGGTTTTTGCGACTGCACTTGGGGACACATTCAAAGTTTTAGGAATTTTCCAGACTGACCAAACTTAGGTTCTTAAAGTAAAAATGGACTGTCGTTTCTCTTTACTTTATCTGATTGGTTCTTGCCATAATATGAATTCTAACAGTTGTCAAATAGGGCTGTCAGCTGTGTACCAACCTGACTTCTGTACAACACAACTGATGGTCCCAACAACATTGAGAAGGCAACAAATTTCACAAATGAACGCTGACAAGGCACAAATGTGAAATGAAACCATTTGCGAGAAGGCCAAGGGTTTTCAGTGCTGTCAACAAAGCAAAGGGTGGCTACTTTTGTTCTAGTACCTTAATATTATGGGTTTTTAATTAGTTGTAATAATTCCTTGAGTTTTGTTTTTTTATCTGATTCCCTGACTTTCCCATTAAATCTCAGCCTCTGTGTTAGATATTCCCTTGTTGGTTACTTCCTGTTTTATTTTGATAGCCGTACGTACCTTGTACTGAATAACTTCCCATGTCTCATTATCCCTGATTTGCTACTGCTGTGCATTCATCCTATTTCCCCTAACCTCATTACTTTGTGTTTGTTTTTTCCTTGTATTTTTTCTGTTTTCCCTTAGATTATTCTGAAC